CCACTCAGCGCTGTGCCGGCCGGGCTTGTGTCGGGGCTGCATGGGTGTGGATTCAGGTGTGGGTAGAGCTGTGAGATTGAGGTGGTGCTGGTCTGCTTTTATTAGCATCTTCCCATTTGGTGGTATCCTCCCGTTGTGCATCAGCGGGGTTAGGATGGCTTCAGGCCGACCGTCTTTGGCCTGCGTCTCAAACAAGCCTGTCAGCTTAGTCACACTGTTCATTGAGCCACGGCGGGAGTGATGGTGGTGGCTGTCCTTTTCCTTGCGACCTGTCAGGTCCAGGTCTCGCTGTCGGTGGTCACAGACGCAGTAGACAATGATGCCTGAAAAGATGGCGCCAATGGCAAACGCAAGAATGACAGCGATGGCCAACAAGGTCACGGGAACAAGCTGGTCACGTCCCTTTTGGTAGCTCTCTCGGATCACACCTACAGAGAACGAGTGACACCATGGTTAGTCTTTCAGAAGAACAGGAGAATATTTCGACACTGGTGTGTGGTTGACAACTGACAAATAAACCTGGTGGGAAAAGTGATTATTCATCCTCCACCTAAAACAATCAAAACAATTAAGCATTTTCAGGATAAAAAGATTATTAGTTTTTAAATACTCCCACAAAAAAACATGTAAATGAAGATCTGTTTATCCCCCCACACAAAATACCTTTTCAGAACTGGCACACATGAAAGTGTGCTGCAGCAACATTTTGTATTTTGTGTGTTTTAGCAAGTGATTATGATTCACATTTTAAATCCCCAATAAAACCCTGAGCTGAAATGAAAATAAAATATATGAAAGCAGATAAAAGAGGTAGAAATGTCCCTAAAACCCCTTTTTTCCTTCTCACTGCTGCAAATAGAAGACTTTTCACAAAGCTTAAATTCAATCTCAGGAATCACAGAGAACAAATTAAAAAGCCTGATTAGGCGTAAAATCCAATGAACTCCGTCATCAGAGCGACACTCACAGGCTGGCTGTGATACCAGCCCAGGAAAAGATGATTAAATAGAAGCAGAGAGTTGTAGCCTTGGAGGAGTGGGAACAATAGGTTGTGCGTAATGAAACAGGGTCAACAATAACCTGCACAAACTTGTGTATGTGGTGCACACACACACGCCTACTGCACACACACTCACACACACACTGCAGCTGATGAATGCAGACATCTACCACAACACCTTTTCCTTGGGTTAACCACTAGAGTCCATAGCAGAGTGATTTACAATGTGTTCACACATGACCTACAACCAGTGCAGCTCAGTTACCACAGAGGATTAGAGGTGTCTTCAGGCAAGGAGTGGAAGCAGCCGGTAGATGGTCAATTCGTTTTAATAGCAAAACGTCAAACAAAACAGGTCCAACAATAAAAGCAAAATAAACTTATTCGGGGTATCCCTGTGAGAAGGTAGATTGGGAGATCTCCCATTGTTCTTAGGGAGTAGAGGTGTTTTTAGAAAGTTGGTGTGAAGAGAATTTGGGGAAATTCTCTTTGAATGTGTGGGGCTATGTGACTGTGTGTGCTCGGGAGAGCCTTTTGGTGTCTTACCATCTTCCTGCTGCAGACCCAACCAAATGTGAAAACCACTGAAATCTAACACCATCATGTAAAAAGCTCCCACAGTGCACAACTGCATGTGATAACATGACTGTTGCACATATGTGTCTCAATCCTACTATGTCTGTGCAGTACGACATACATATATTTATTCTATATATGATACAAATTTTTCTTTGTGGGAATCTTAAAAATCTGCACTTACATCGTAAAAAAAACAGAACGAAGCTTTTAGCGCAATAGAGATGATACGTGGAAATGAACAGAATTCATAATCCTAGGTGCATATTACATACGGGAGTTTAAAACGAAACATAATAAAAATATAATTTGTCAAATGTTGAGAATTATCAAACGACTATGTTGCCAGAGTTACCAGGTTTTACTGGTAGTTACTACTCCTACTACTGGTTTACTACTAGTTTCTCCCAGACTATCGCTCTATATTACTCCCAAACCATTTCAACCATACCCCTCAAACTTAATCTGCTCAAACTGCTCAAACTTAGCTGTTCCTCTGTTCTGCCCATTCCCAACCTCATTCATTCTCGTTCCTCCTAGTGAAAATATCTGCATTTTCATCTCTGCCACCTCCACCTCAGCCTTGTCTTTTACCTCCTCCTGTCATGATGTCAAACCCATATATCACAGCAGGTCTTACTACTGTCTGATACACTTTTCAATTTTCCTTCCATCACAAATCTAACTTGAAAGTCATCTCACCCATATTTCTTTTGACCTCTTTGTGCACTGCCCATTTCTTTGGACGGTTTACCCTAGGTACTTGAACCCGTCTATTTTTTTACCACGTCTACTCTGTCTACTTTGTCGTTCCGCCTTAACTCACTCTCTTTTACACATGTGTTCGGTCCATCTCCTGCTGACCTTTATACCTCTTTGTTCTAGAGGTTAGTCATCTCTTACTCTCACTGTCCAATCATGAAGTCTCCTGGCTAAACCCCACCCCTACCTTGAATCCATCAGTCACTCCGACTGCAAACTACTTTCTGATTGGCCTTAAAAATTTTGTACCACCGTAGCATACTGTACTTCTCTACCACTCCTGACTTTCCAGATTTTACACTTCCTTAGAGCCCATCATATGCTTTTTATATTGTTTTTATTACTGTAAAATTATCATTACTTTTATTTTCTGTAGTACCAGTGTATCTTGGTTTTACATCCGATGTTTTATTTATTTAATTTTTTTTTTACATCATATAGCATTCCATTAACTACAGTCCCCTCCAAAGTATTGGAACGGCAAGGGCAATTCCTTTGTTTTTGTTGTATACTGAAGACATTTGGGTTTCAGATCAAAAGATGAATATGAGACAAAAGTTCAGAATTCCAGCTTTTATTTCATGGTATTGACATCCAGGTGTGTTAAACAACTCAGGACTGAGCCCCTTTGCGAACCTCCCCCAGACTGTTATCAACCCTCCCTAGACTGTATTACCCTTTCCCACACAATTATGTACACAGTTGTATAATGACGACGCAGAGAGGAGTTTGCGAGAGAGTTGCCGACAGACAAGGGGAGATGCTGAGAGATGCTACAATGCATGAGCCAATCAGTGTGAGGAACAGAAGAGCATGCGCAATTAGCCAGTAGTACACCGAGCATGCATTGTATTAGCCAATAGTATGCTGTGCACGATCTCGTCTAGGTAAACAAAGCTACCAGTGATCGTTTGCAAATGCACTTATTTAAATTTCAAAATGAGAATCTGCATTTTTACAGCAAAAAAAAAAAAGATCAGATTCAAAAGCAAATCTGCGATGTACTGAGGGAACGAAAGGAGAACCGCGATATAGAGGGGGGAACACTGTACTGATAACTCTGGACGTGTACGTGGGCGTGTGTAGAGACGACAGGGAATGAAAGACTCAGCCTGTATCCATACTTGATTCATGCTCCTCTGACTGTGAGCATGGTTTCTAAACTCTCAGTTCAAAGAGGAATAATGACAGCTGCAAGTGTATTTAGTAAAACCTCAAAAGTGCATGTGCTGCTGTGACGTGACTGTTGGTCCCATGTGGCGGTTGTGAGATGTGTTAGTAAAATGAATAGCCAGAAGGTGAACATGGGAAATGAAAGCAGCAACTGTGAGTAGAACACAAAAGAGGTCCGCAAGAACAATATTATATATATATATACAGTATTATAACCTATGACTTGACGTCGGTGAGGGAAGTGCGTAATGTCCACAAAAACATCCAGTTACTCTGGATGATTCATCCAGAGCTGAAAAAATCATCCACCTCACAACGGCCAATCAAAACCTCAGACCAGAAGGAACCAGATCAAATCACACAATTAAATCACCCCTGCAGTATAAGGTCAAGAAGTAGAAACATATTTCTAGTAATGTATACTCTAGCAATGTATACTCTCTAATATCAATTCCCTAATATCAATTAAATCCAAGGACATTACCTACCACTGACATTTTCCAAAACCATTACATTCCCCAAAAACCATAACTCCAAAGAGGAAGGTTCAGGTTGAACTGAATCTACCACTTACTCAGGAACATACTCGAAATGTCGTAGAACATTTGTAGCCACCAATTGTAGAACTGGAGTTGAACTTGGTGCTCAAGGCTTTTCTGTTGAAAGCTGTTTGGTTTAGCCAAGGCCATGCCAAGCTAAACAGCATATATGCTGTTGTGAACCTCCCCCTTGAATAGCCACTCAAGGAAATGGAAACTTTGGCGCTATAAAGACTCTACGGCCTCTCTCACATTGTTTTAAAATTTTTAATTCACGCCTTCTATGCTCGTGTAAATACCTCACCCTCTCGTTAGCTTTAGCCTATAAACAGGATGTAACTTTCATTGTACATCACCACAGTAGCAGTCCACACAGTTTTTACACCAGACGTCCCAGCTGATGCCACACAAGCTTGGATTTGGGCCTGCGTTGGAATTGAACCCTGAACCTACCACCGTAGCACTCCAGCCTTGGCAACACAAGATATACAAACAAATTTCTCCCCCATCTATAAATGCTATCTCCAATGCAACACTGTTACAACTGCTACTGATTTCTGTCAAAATAAATAAATACTAGCTGGACTTAAGCATGTCGAGCTAATGTGGTTTAATCCTCCTTTCCAAACTACACAAGTCTGAATTGTGTTTTTCTAACAATGCAGGCATTAATGTGTTTCCACATGTTGTCGAAGGGCTGTGCCTCCTACTGCAGCAGTGTCCTACTAATTCAGAGGAATGAGCTCAACCAAGAAAAGCAGATGATGATACATTGATTCAAATTTGAAAACTGGAATTCTGCTGTAAACAGGTGTCATTTTTTTCTGATTGCAGCAGATGTGTTAGACATTTTGACCCTGTGGTAACATGCAACATTGAGAGTGACGTGACATGTCCAGCAATGATGAAATAATATCTGTGGTTGAAAAAGAACCTGCTCGGACGACCAAGATTATTTTGACATGGGGGGGGGGGGGGAGGGGGGGAAAGTGAAGAAAATTATATGGCGACAAGTGTTGGATAAAATTGGAGGAAAATACCACACTGTTGTGATTCTAAAAACACATTGTTTTTTTTACATAGGCTAAGTTGAGGTTGTAATTAAAATAAACGTCAACACTATCTTTACTCCATTAACTATGGCAAAATTGGAGGAAACGACTGAAATGTCACACCTGTCTCTTAGCACTTTCTCTTCCTTCCTGCCTTCTGTGTCGAGATGACACGTGTTATTTTTCTAATGCGACAGTTTATTCAGAGAAATCCATCAGAGATGTTAAAGAAAGTTCATGCTCCTTCAGTCAGCACTGTCCAATCACGTCCGAGATCAATCCTTAATATTTTCTACCACAATTTAGCCTAAAGCTATCAATGTAGTTACATACATAGTTTGAATTTTAGTGTATTTGAAGTTACGCTAACTATGTATTATTACTTTCATAACCATAATGTACCGTATTTTTCGCACCATAAGGCACACCGCATTATAAGGCGCACTATCAATGAACGGGAATATTTTCATACATAAGGCGCACCAGGTTATAAGGCGCATTAAGCAAAACAATTAAGCGGAACAATCAAGCATGCCCGGATCCCTCTCGTCAATATCCAAGTCAGTCTTGTTGCTGTTAATAAGCTGTTCAGTGATGATTCCAGCTTTCGTGAAAGCTCGGACAACATTTGAGACTGATACCTTAGCCCAGGCATCCACGATCCATTGACAGATAGTGGCGTAACTCGCCACTATCGCCACTAACTCGTTGGCTCTCTGTCTTGGTGAGTGTGTGTTCGCCTTCTGTCATCCAATGCTCCCATGCAGCTCGCAATTTAACTTTAAACGCCCTGTTAACACCAATATTTAGTGGCTGGAATTCTTTGGTTAATCCACCCGAAATGATGGCAAGCCCTGAATTAGTTTGCTTCACTTGGGTTTTGACAATATCGGTGGGATGGGTGCGCATGGATCAATAGGGATGGAGATTTGTGGAAAAGGGTAGTGACCTAAGTTGGACACAGGAGGGCGCTGTTGTTGTTGTTCGCCCCTCCAGAGTCAGGCGGTTGTCACTATTTTAGTTATGGATGGTCACCATATTGTTGTTTTATTATTGTAAGTGTGGCTGTTCTTTTGTAGAGATAGTGTGTGTTTTGCCTGTATCGATAAAAAAGGAGAAATAAAAAGAGTTCTTGAGCACAAAAAAAAAACGACAGCCATGCGTCTGAGTCATCCTGCATCGCACCATACATCGATAATACAAAAACACAATGCAGAGTCTCCGGGTGTTGGGAGGCACGACGTGACGTTGCTCGGATTTGGGTTCTACAACCATACAGTAGTTGTTGTTGAGCATCCTCTAATTGTGATAACAGAATTAAACATCATTGTTGGCTCCCAGTGTGTTTCAGTTGTGTGCCATCATGTGTGACGCGCTGTGTGGTTTAGCTTTATAAAATCCGTTCGAGGTCAGTAAGCACAACCAGAAGTACCGTATTTTCCGCACTATAAGGCGTACCTAAAATCTGAAATTTTTTTCAAAAGCTGACTATGCGCCTTATAATCCGGTACGCCTTATATATGGATCAATATTGCGCCGCGACAGGTCTCGCAACTTACGGTAAGCAGCCACCGACTCCATTTTTCCCCGTAGAAGAAGAAGTGCGCGGTGCATGCTGGGATATATTAAACATTCATTTTCATTTGTGTGTTTGTGTAAAGACCCTGAAATGGCTCCTATTAAGAGACACGCTTACAACGCAGAGTTTAAACTCAAGGCGATCAGTCACGCAGTAGAACACGGAAATAGAGCAGCAGCAAGAGAGTTTAACGTTAATGAATCGATGGTGCGGAAGTGGAGGAAGCATGAGGATGAGCTGCGCCAGGTAAAGAAGACTAAACAAAGTTTCCGTGGCAATAAAGCGAGATGGTTACAGTTATTATGCTGCGAACTTAACATTAAAGAATTTAGAGGCGGTCCTTCTTGGTGCTTTCGGTTTATGAAAAGATGTAATCTCTCCATCCGTACACGAACTACTGTTTCACAGCAACTGCCAGCTGACTACCAGGAAAAGCTGGCCACTTTCCGCACATACTGCACAAACAAGATTACTGAAAAAAAGATTACTATATATATATGGTGTGACTGGACATAGTTGAGACTGAATATAGTGCCTGACACTATGAGTTTGGTTGGTTTAGTCAGTCATTTTTTTAAGGGTCCTTTGGTGGTTTGTACAAGCGTTCCAATGGATGAGAGAATTCTCAACTTATGCCACTTTTAATTGTTGATTAAAAACAACTAGTTGCAGATTGGATGTATCACTGTATCCTTTATGGCACAAGTACCGTATTTTCCGCACTATAAGGCGCACCTAAAATCTGAAATTTTTTTCAAAAGCTGACTATGCGCCTTATAATCCGGTACGCCTTATATATGGATCAATATTGAGCCGCGACAGGTCTCGCAACTTACGGTAAGCAGCCACCGACTCCATTTTTCCCCGTAGAAGAAGAAGTGCGCGGTGCCTGCTGGGATATATTAAACAGCGATTCATTTTCATTTGTGTGTTTGTGTAAAGACCCTGAAATGGCTCCTATTAAGAGACACGCTTACAACGCAGAGTTTAAACTCAAGGCGATCAGTCACGCAGTAGAACACGGAAATAGAGCAGCAGCAAGAGAGTTTAACGTTAATGAATCGATGGTGCGGAAGTGGAGGAAGCATGAGGATGAGCTGCACAACATAAAGAAGACTAAACAAAGTTTCCGTGGCAATAAAGCGAGATGGTTACAGTTATTATGCTATTGCTTTATTGTTATTGTTATTGTTTTGCACTTGTTATTGTTTTTGCACATTACGAGTGTCACTATATTGTGATTGCACTAACGTTTAATTTACCGTAACAGTATCAGACTGGTTTTTGCGTGTTGACTGAATGGAGGAAAAGTAAAATGTTATACCTTGCTGTTGTTAAAAGATGTTAAAGATGTGTCACGAAAATGCTAATGCTTTACCTCAGAGAAAATAATAAAACAGCTGTTTATTCATTTTGGGAGTGAATGGAGTTGTGGAAAGCTTGTTTGTAATCTATTAATAAAGTTTGACTGACCTATCTGACTGTTTTGTTGACATTCCCTTTAGCGCGGCACCATCTAATGGTTGCATAACGTAACTACAGCCTCTACTGTAGCGCCTTATAATGCGGTGCGCCTTATATATGGAAATAGTTTTAAAATATGTCATTCATTGAAGGTGCGCCTTATAACACGGTGCGCCTTATAGTGCGGAAAATACGGTAATACATAAGGCGCAGTGTCGATTTTTGAGAAAATTAAAGGATTTTAAGCGCGGCTTATAGTCTAGAAAACACGGTACACATGATTTTATTTCTTCTTTTTCCTTTTCTACTTTAATATATTTTTTTAATGATAACTGACAGTGGTCATCAATTAATTTGAACTCAAGACCCCTGATGTGGTCAGCTGATTTTATTTTTGGATTAAAGTTTTTGTGTTTCCATCAATAGTTCTGCATTGTAAGCTGTAGTGGTAGTTCTTCAAAGCATCAACTTAACTGCTTTTGACACAGAGTGGTTTCATTCTTATTAGTTGTTAACACTAGAAAGAAAGGGCATTCAATGTCATGCCACAGTGACGTAAAGTATGACGAGAACTGGGGCTCAAGTCGTCTTCTAGGAGGAAATAAATACATCGCAGTCTTCCCTACCAGAGTGTAATGGTCTGGATATTACATCTCCTTTGGGACATTACAGTTCACGGGTGATAAATCCATCCTCGTGTGAGTGTGTATAAGTGGGTGCATACCTGTTTATTACTATGTACAGAATAGGTACGTGCATGTATGTCTTTGTTAGAGTGCATTAATCCTAGAGGTATATGCACAGGCAGTTTGAGGAAATGTGCCCCCCGTTGAGAAAGTGATTCAGTATCTGTGCACCAGTCAGCTGGAAGCAGCCAGGCAGCCATAAATCTCAAATAACCACAACCCTCCCTTTCACTCACCCTCTACCCTTCCTCCCTCCTTTGCCACAGGAGACAATGGACCAAATTGACTGCTCACTGTTGAGTTCCAAGGCTTACCATCACCTTCAGGTTGAGTCTGAGAGGGAACTGCCACGTAGGGTTCCTCCCCTTTGTCTGAGATCATTGGGGGGTCCTTCTGCTCCACCATGCGGCCCCGACCCAGTGGGCCCTCGGCAGCCTCTGGCAGGGCCGAGGTGGGCAGTGAGAGGGTGTGATGGTGGTGGAGATGTGGGCCTGCCGGACACAACATAGGTTAACCAAAGTTCGAGAAAAAACAGAGGGAGAGGCTACATGCGCTTTAGTCCGGCAGTGTTTTGTTTTTTTTTTATATATCTGATTATTTCAAACCAAATGTTTATCTGCCACAGTTAGCAACTCATTAGCAAATGTATGTGTATTTCTTGAAATGGGCTTGTCCTTCCTTTTGTCATTATCCCTTGCTTCTCTCTGTGTTTTTGTCTCATTGCCTTCCTCCTGTTCTGACTAACACATCATACACCAGCAGGGTCTGTCAGAGTACCATCGTACTTCTCCACCATTATTGTGGGGAGTCTAACTTCAATACAGAAGAAGGCACATTTCTGGAATCAAGCAAGAGAGTTCTAGTCCCAAAGGCAAAATATAGAATACTATTTGCCCAAAAAAGATGGTGGCAAGTAAAACCTAATTATTTAGACATGTGCTAATAAATGTTTTCCCTCAGCTTATAAACACATTAAACTTTAAATCCATCTATCCATCCATCCATTTTCATCCGCTTATCCGTTACTGGGGGGCAGCAGTCTCCAAGACCTCCACCCAAATCACACTGCACCGTACCAACACCCCCCCGAACCTTCCTGCGGGTGGTGAGTCCACTGGAAGGTACCAACCACCCTAAATGGGATTCGATCTTGCCCAGGAGGTGAACCCTGGGGTTCCACACCAATGACAGAGACATTGCCTCTGTGCCAAAGCGCCACTCTTTAAATCCAGCAACCAAAAAAAAAAAGCTTTGTATGAAAAACCCTTTGTATAAAGCCCTACTCTAAAAACACTGACCTGCTGTGTTTATTAAATCAAACTGAATGTGAATGAATGAATTTCATTATAATATCTAAAATAACTAACAATTATTTTAGATATTATAATGAAATTCATTCACATGAAATTAATCACAATCTTAATCTTACTCTGCCTGTACTTGTGACACCTTCCTTCTCTACTTTCCTTTCCTCGTCACTTTTTTTTTTCACCTTTAATTTTCAATGCAATCCCACCTTTCTGGGATCTCATAAAGGCTTCCTGTTTGCCCAGCTGGCAATCTTAATTTCGCCTGGCCCTGAGCAACAGGGCTTGATCAATGATCAGAACCATGCCATTAAATTTTAATGGATTTTCTCTTTTTTGACTTGTCCCTATAATTCAGTTCTTTAATAACTAAATCAGTTGCTGGCCAACAACAGGGAGGAGAGCATAGCGCAGCCAGGAAGTTGCACCAGGAGATGAGAAGACAAAAGAAGCTAAAACTGTGTAAATGTATGCACTGGAAACGCTGTTACACCTGGAGGTCTGACAATAACTTGAAGATGCAAAGAAGTCTTTGTGACTCCCTGCTTTTCACCTCCTGTGTCTATTTTTAAACTATGGGTAGAACTCAACTCATGCCTATATACACCTGAGTTGAGAATCAAGTGTATATAGGCAAGTGTACTATTTTACATAAAATAAATATGGCCTTTAATTTATTTAATTCCTACACAAAGAAAAAAAAAATCAGGTAAGTAGTGACAGCTGTGTTTTCAACACCTTGTTTTCAGATGGAAGGCGCCATTTCAATATGCGCTCATACTTGCATTTGATGGAGAGACATTTCATGGGTTGCACTGGTACAACACACACCCTCACACACTACCAACCAAAGCCTCCTCCCACTCCTCTTCTTCCTCCTCTTCCCCGTGTGGCGTGGCAATCATTAAAATGATTTATTTAACTATTGGCCCAGGGCTGAGAGATTAGTGTGACAGGCCTATTTTATAATTCATTCCCTCACTGCCAGGGGAAGTGCAATTGAGGCAGATGACACACAGCTGAACTCAGAGCTTGGAGCCTCGGAGCTCCACCATGGATCAGAAGGAAAAAAATGCTCTAAATTGCAGATGGATGCAAAACCCTCTTTATACAGATTAAAAGGGAGGGAAGGTTGTCTAGTCTGGAGTAGAGGAGACGGGGTTAGAAACGGGGCATTTATTCATCTTTAAATCCATATCAACTATAGACAAAGACGAAGAGGCTGGAGTCTCTGAGCCAATGGCTAAGACTTTGTTCCTGTTGAAGGGCTGGTTTTAAATGGAACACTGTATAGATCAGGGGTCCCTAACTCCCTGTTCGCAGACCAGTACCAGTCCATTGGTCCTTTGGTACCAACCCGCAGTGGGACACAGTGAAAAAATGAAAAAAATCTAATTTGCTTCATTAAAAAAAAAAATAAATCCATTTACCTTCTTTATTTGACATAATCTGGCAATATTTTAAAATAAAAGTCATTCAGACTTTGATACAAACAGAATAGAGCCTGGTATAGATGTAGCTCATGTAATTGCAATTGATTATTATTTATTCAAGCTACAAATATTGTTCATTGTTGTGTAATAAACAAAAACCTTTTAATTTCATAGGTTGATAAACTCTGCTGCATGGACTTTATTAAATGCTTTTTAAGCTCCCGCGGGCCACACAAAATGGCTTGGCAGACCACATTTGGCTCCGGGCCTTGAGTTTGACACGTATGCTCTACAGTGATGTGTATTTTTTAGGAGTGTACTGTGCAATTATGGAGCCAGCGAGATCTGAAGACTCATGCTTGTTTACATCAGCCTTTTTGAACGCAGCATCTTTGAGTGTGCAGAGAGAATCTGTCGGCCACACATGCCTGGTGGTAGAAACACATCAGATCTCTGTGCAGACCGAAGGGGGCGGTGTGTTCTCTGCTGATTCATTATTCAACTTTATTATGCATGTTGTTGTCAATGTGAAGACCTTAAACCACTAACAATCAGATCCATCCAATTAGCAACGCAAAGATCAGAGATATTCAACACAGCTACATCGGGGATAAAGAGGAGATCTAAGAGGAACAAAAAGAAAGTGAAGGTCTAACCAAACTAGAATTAGAATCAGTAGGTTTCTGATTTTAAATTCTATGTCCTTCAGTCTAAAGATCGCAGAGGATGGACGAGGAAACACTAGGAAGGAAACCGTGTCTAAATATTTGATTACCTTCATAACTGGAAAGATGGTCTATTTAAAAAAGAGAGAATAAAATAAAGATCATTAATAACCTCACTTTATACAGGTGGGCGGAGTTCACTTTACTTAAGAGGGACTGATCCCTCTTAATCGACTAGAAAGAGAGGTGTGGCCCAAGTTAAATAGCCTTGGTGAATGAAATGTAACTTCTGTCTGTTTTATACTACAACTGCCATCACAGTCTCCTGTATGTGGAATACTTACCGTTCAGAGCCACAAATGTATCTGGGAAAAGAAGGAAGAAACAAAAAATGAGGCGAGATGTTATTGCATGCTGTAAAGAGTGGTTGAGCTTTAACAAAATCAAAAGCCATGACTTTTAAAGTAATTTAATATTGACAGAGTATTCAATACACTCTGAAGTTTTCATCAAAGGTTATTTAGGTCAAACAAAAAGTATGGAATTAACCAAACTGAGTGGTTTTAAAGGAGCAGTACGCTGTATTTGTCAACTGTATTGTTAATTTAATCCTTCAAAAAGTTAATTTGTTGTTAACTGTCCCTATGTACATTACAGTACATTAAAAAGATGCATTTTGAGATTGATTGAATTGGCATCCCTTGATTTGCAGGTGAGAGTGAATCCCAGTGCTGTGTGCATTTGAATGTTTACATTGAACACATTTTACAACACATGCACAAACAAGAATCCTGTCTCTACCCAGTGGGATCAACGTTCTTTGGGACACAACATTCTTTTGGCCGGGGGACTAGAAAAACAGCAGGAGCAGGACAGAGGATCATGAGAGCCGAAGGCTCAGATGGAAGGAAGAGGCCGAAAGGGAGGATTGTGAGGGCAGAACAGACGGGGGAGAAAGAGGTAACAGCAGCGCAGAACGAAACCAAGGGGTGAAGAGTGAGACCAAGTTAACAGAGAAGAGAGGAATGGTGAGGGGGAGGCGGGAGATAAGAGTGAGGAGGGCCTGCTTACTTTGGCAGTCTCCCAGGCCATCTGTGTTACCATGTTCCACGTCCTGCTCAAAGGCTGATCTGCAGGAAACAGAGATATCACTGTCAGTGGTGGAAAACAGGCCAGGCTGTCCAGGCTCGCCACACCTAACAGCTGTAGAGAAGCTAATGCATAAACAGCTTCAATCACATCATACCCAGCAACAGCAGAATGTGGATGCTGCAGAAAGACCTAGACTGGAACAAAACAAAAGCACACCTACCTGTTGCCCTGAAGGCTTTAGGTCAGTGGTTTTAAAAATCACCAAAGGGTTCGAGAAGTTAAAGTTGACACAACTCAATGCCAATAGAGCTGATTCAGACGAAGATTTTGTGTGTTTCTAAATGGCACTAAAACACATTTGCTGTAAAACTAATGCTTTAAAATCAATGACTTTACCAGTGTTAGATGCTGCTTTCAGCATTCCATGAGATAAGCTGATAAGCTGTATGGCTACAGTCAGAAAGTGTCAAAATAACACTGAGACACAGCAAGAGTCATACTATACCTTTGGTTCAATCAAAGGTATTAACAAGCTTTTTACATAAATGCACAAAAAATGTTTTTCTTCATCAAAAATCCACTTCTTATGTGACAAGAATGGAAGAGATGTGAGTGGAAGAGTTCCCAGGACTTTCCTCTCCCGTACAATCTACATCAAGACCTGTTTTCATGCTGAAAGACCACCAAGCAAGCCGTAAGATCTGTGAAACAGAGCAGACCAACTGTCAACCAGAATTAAAGTTTTTCAGAGTCCTCCTTTGCTCTCCTCTCACCACCACTGCTCCTCCTGTCTGTCCACCTGCCTCCTCACCCTTCACTGGTTACTATCATAGCACAGAAAAAATAAATGCTTTCCAAAAACAGCATCACACAGCCTGTACCCTTAGTTCAGGGGTGGAAGTGTGAACCTGGCAACTAAGACCATCACACAGGATTTTACACAAACTGCCTATTTGATTTCTGTACAACAGTCCGGAAATAACTATTTACAGAAAGCATTTCCTGTTACCATAACAAGTTTAGCAACAGCACATTTCTCTGTCAGATGACTATTCCCTTTAGATGTGAGAAAATTAAAACACATAAACAAAATCGGCAGTTGCATCCTCCAATCCCATGAAAACATCTGCTTCTCTGTTTAATTTTCATACATATTCGCCCTCCATATTCCTGATATATCTGCAATAAATTTCTCAAGAAAAAGTGAAAAAAAGATCTTGTCCCCCCTCACCATATTATTTTATTCTTTAAGGCACCGAAACAGTTAATTTTGTGGCCATGTCTCTAATTACAGTTAAAAATGAGGGTAAATATGTGGTTCCAGACCTCTGAGATGAGCAGCATATGCTTTAAATCCCATAGGTTTCATGATTAATTATTATTGATTAATACCCAGCCACCGATGTAGTGCCACTTTGCACGTGAATGTGAATGAACCGCAGAGTGAACCCTCACTTACAGAGTTCCTCCTCCACAGCAGCTGCATCCCAGCAAGCAGATGAGCGGTGTGTTGTCATGTGACACTACAGATTAGGATCAGCAGATCCCACTGCAACCTCGTTATGCATATTTAACTCTGAATCAAACCATACGTAACTGAAGGCATCCATTGACTGCATCCACATCCTCTCATATCAGGTGAGGTTATGATGCGAGATGTGCGGTTGCAGCGAGAGTACTCTCTTGCTGAGATACAGGTCAGCTCTAATGGCGTTAATTATTCATATCTGAAGTGAAGAGCAACCTGGGACCTAATATTCTATACGTACTCCGCGGTGCAAAGTGGGGTTGCTGAACGTTTGTCGCAGGGGACTAGAGTGCAAGCTGTTTACAGGCAGAAGGCAGAAGAGGCAGAACTCTGCATGGAAAAACTGGCAAGACTAACATCGGGGGTAGGTGGAAGAAAAAGGATGGGTAGAAAACACAACAAGAAATACAGTATTACCTTTAAAAAAGGTTAAATAAAAAAATACGGAGGGAAATGAGATGACAGGTCGTATGATAGTGAGGAATAAAAGTCTGTCTCATTAAAAATAAAATAAATAGAATTTTTCCAGCACTAACACTGGAGTGTTAAGAACAGGTTTTTTAACAGATTTGGAGTAAAATTAGAAATAAAAAAGAAAAATCTATTGCAAGAAGTATGCAATGCAGCAACATTTTTCTCAGAGTAAAACATCTTTTAATTGAACTGAAACAACATCGAAAGTATGGGTCACGGAATATGAATTGTGTTATGAATTGTGTGTTTTAAATATTTTGGCATCTCAGATTAATCATTTTGCAGCAACAAGATCAAATTCAATATCTTTAAACAGGGTCCATGGTCGTTTTGTCATGACTTCATCTGCAAAATGTTTTTCCCTCCACAAAATGTGCTGTTTGTTCAGAAAGCCAACAAGATCAAATTCAATATCTTTAAACAGGGTCCATGGTCGTTTTGTCATGACTTCATCTGCAAAATGTTTTTCCCTCCACAAAATGTGCTGTTTGTTCAGAAAGCAAACAGTGGTATGAAAAAGTTTGGGCACCCCTGATCATTTTCAAGATTTCCTTTATGTATCATTGGTTGTTCGGAACAGCAATTTCAATTAAATATATCATATAGCAAACAAACAGGGATATTTAAGAAGTGAAATGAAGTTTATAGGATTTACAGAAAGTGTGCAATAATTTCTTAAACATAAATGCATAAGTGCATAAATTTGGGCACCCTTGTTGTTTTATTGATTTGAATACCTTTAGCACTAATTATTGGAACACGAAATTTGTTTGGTAAGCTCATTGACCCTTGACCTACATACACTGGTGAAGCCAATCATGAGAAAGGGTATTTAAGGTGGCCAGTTGCAAGTTGTTCTCCCCTTTGCATCTTCTCTGAAGACTGGCAACATAGAAGCCTCAAAACAACTGTCAAATGACCGGAAAACAAAGATTGTTCAACATCATGGTTTAGGGGAAGGATACAAAAAGCTAGCTCAGAGATTTCAGCTGTCAGTTTCCACTGTGAGGAATATAGTGAGGAAATGGAAGAGCACAGGCACAGTTCTAGTTAAGGCCCGTAGTGGCAGGCCAAGAAAAATCGCAGATAAGCAGAGGCAAAGGATGGTGAGAACAGTCAAACTCAACCCACAGACCTACAACATGATCTTGCTGCAGATGGTGTCACTGTCCATCGTTCAACTATTCAGCGCACTTTGTACAAGGACATGCTGTATGGGAGAGTAATGCGGCAGAAGCCTTTTCTGCACCCATGCCACAAAAAGAGTCGCTTGAGGTACGCTAAAGCACATTTGGACAAGCCAGCTTCATTTTGGAATAAGGTGCTGTGGACTGATGCAACTAAAATTGAGTTATTTGGACATAACAAGGGGCGGTATGCATGGCGGAAGAAGAACACAGCATTCCAAGACAAACACTTGCTACCCACAGTTACATTTGGTGGTTCCATCATGCTGTGAGACTGTGTGGCTAGTGCAGGTACTGGCAATCTTATTAAAGTTGAAGGTCGCATGATTCCAGTCAGTATCAGCAAATTCTTGCGAACAATGTTCAAGAATCAGTGACAAAGTTGAAGTTGCGCCGGGCTGGATACTTCAACAAGACAACGACCCTAAACACCTCTCAAATTTTACCAAAGCATTCATGCAGAGGAACAAGTACAACACTCTGGAATGGCCATCTCAGTCCCCAGACCTGAATATCATTGAAAATCTGTGGTCTGTTTTAAAGTGGGCTGTCCATGCTCGGAAACCATCAAACCTGACTGAACTGGAAATGTTTTGTAAAGAAGAATGATCAAAAATACCTTCAACCAGAATCCAGACCCTCATTGGAAGCTATAGGAAGTGTTTAGAGGCTGTTATTTCTGCCAAAGGAGGATCTACTTAATATTTATGTAATTTTTCTGTTGGGGTGCCCAAATTTATGCACTTATGCATTTATGTTTAAGAAATTATTGCACACTTTCTGTAAATCCTATAAACTTCATTTCACTTCTTAAATATCCCTGTTTGTTTGCTATATGATATATTTAATTGAAATTGCTGTTCCGAACAACCAATGATCCGTAAAGGAAAATCTTGAAAATGATCAGGGGTGCCCAAACTTTTTCATACCACTGTAACCTGGCTCAGTGTCATAACTGCAACTACTAATTACCGTTAACATGACCAATGAGCTTAACGAGCTCTGCTTCTCCAAACCCCAGCCTGAGGCTAAAAACACTTTCTTTCCATGCATCCTTCCAATAGTCAGCTGGAGGCAGTCACACTTGCCCACAACAAAACAACAAAGATCAAAGAAACAACTAACACCACCAAGCAAGAAACAGTAAGCTTTTTGTATCCTAAGGTTTTTGTAAACCATGAACATAATGACTTTTCTACAGAGCCCCTAAAGGGACATGGGGAAAAAAAAGAAAAAAAGAAACGTATCTCTTTCTCGTGAGCACGAGAAACCTTAGGTTAAGCACATGCAGTTGTGCTTCCTGTGCGTATGCCCCAAGGCTCTTTCTTTCTTTCATGACGTATAATCCATTATTATTATTATATATTTCGTGATAAGTTTCACGTTATTTCATAATAAGTTTCACGTAATTACGTGATAACATTCACGTTACAGTGGTCCCTCTCTTTATCGCGCTCCTACTTTCGCTTCCTCAGTACATTGCAGATTTTTTTTAATCGACATTAATCTCCCTACACTGTTATCAAGAGTCGAACAACAACAACAACAACACCAGTGCCCTCCTGTGTCTAACTGCGGTATCCTACATTAATTAAATGCTCACCATGTATACAGTACATATGTCACACATGACATGCCGGTATCTTAGATTTCCCAAACCATACTGTACATGATTCTTTGTTTATTTTAATGTATTTTTTTTTTTTTTTTTTTTTGCCCCCATGTCCCTTTAGGGGCTTCTTACTTTTCACAGACAAACTGGCAAAAATAAATAAATAAATACATACAGTGTTAGTTGAGATATGAGCAAGGCCCAGGGGGTTAGCTGGATTAGCTTGTCCTAGCCTGGCCTTGGTGATGACAAATTGGTACACAATTAATGTCAAAATAAAAAGTTGTATCTTCAGTTTGGTTTAAAATGTGTTGTTCGTGTTTCAAATACTACATAAATTTTATGTTTAAGCAGCAAGGTTAGAAGGGAAGAGCTTAATTAATAGGCAATGTCTCTGTCATTGGTGTGGAACCCCGGGGTTCACCTCCTGGGCAGGTTTGAGTCCCGGTTAGGGCGGTTAGTACCTTCCAGTGGACTCACCACCCGCAGGCAGGTTTAGGGGGTGTAGGTACAGTGCAATGTGATTGGGTGATAGTTGTGGAGACTGCTGCCCCCGTGACCCGGTAACAGATAAGCGGATGAAAATGGATGGATGGAAGTAGCCACCCTAGCATTTTGGCATAGAGTCAAATTCATATACAGTTACCTCTAAAATCTTCATTATACTTAGAGTTAACATCTTGGGCTTCACTTTACATTTTCTTAATCAAAATGCTCCTTCACCTAAGCACTGAAGTAGCTTCAGGTCCATCCAAGCACTGAGACTGAGGTTTGCTTTGTTTATTATATTTAACTTGCCTGTCAAAGCTATTTCTTAGTGTTTACTTACTTCATGTTACCCACCACTTGTCTGCAGGCTCCTTCTGACACCCAACCACAGTATGGGTCTCTGGAGGCTATGCAGGACCTGGAAAGAGAAAACCACAAACAACCAGCAGATTATTGTTCACCTTTCTTACAGTGCAGCAGACTACATTTCCAGACTCAGTGGAATCCATCATAACAATAAGCGGCAGACTCACTTCTTGCATCTTCCATGTCTTTCACAGCGAGACAGAGGCACTTTAACCACACAGGAGGTGAAAGCAACCCACAGAGCATGACTCTTGCTGTCTATTTGCATGCCAATGATGTGCTTGTCCTTCACGCCATCTATGCTGCATCTGTAGGAGCAAAAGTGAGAGAATCAATTAGTTCAATTATTATTCTATAAAATGTTTGATTAAAGGCAGTTCTGCTTAAGTTTAAAACATTAATTCTTAAATGGTGGCCCATTGTCCACATTTGGCTCATGAGCAGCCCATTTGCAGACCACAGCCCTCCTATTGGTGGGCTGTGTGGTGATAATGTGAAAGGAAAGCTGTGTTCCAGTCCTTCACTGTGGGCATTTTTGTTTGGTCTGTATGAATAAATGGTATGTCATCAAAATGCTAACGATGTGTGATAGGCTGTTAGCAAGATCATTGATAACTTTATGGCGCTTTTAATCCTTTACACGTGTATGCAAATTTCTGAATTCTCAAAATCCTTGAATCACCTTGGACCTCTGTGTCTGTTTTTTTTATTATTTTTTTATTTTTTTATTTAAACCCCTAATCGTCATATATAATTTGGATTCTTTGCCAGGGTTTTGTTCTATCTATTTGAGTATTCATTGAAAAATTATGTCAAATTGGAAATGGCATTTTATTACATTTTGTTTTAGTATGTATTCTTGTTGTTTTGACGAGAAAAGACCACTTGTTTTGACAGTATTATTGCTTGTGGCTTGACCAACTATTATAAGTAACCTTTGACTTATTGAGAGATATTGCGTACGTGTGTGTGTGACCATCACCACGACCACAACCACCCCCCGTGCCCTTTTACTCCCCAGGACCTTTGAATTGTGTGTCTTTGACGATCATTAAGATTTGTATTTGAGTACCCCTGGTGTAAAACACGGCTTGGAAGAAGTCAAATGTAGCTCTTTTAATAATAGATTAATGGAGTTTATTTTTTTTAAGTGCTGGCAGAGAGATAAAGGTCAGGGGAAACAGGGATGATAATGGACGGTCAGTAACATAGTGGGAGATAAAGAAAGATAAAAACAGACAGATAAACAGGCAGATGGGGAAAGTGAGCAGTCTGCAATAATATGACCCTTAACTGTAAAACCTACTAATACTAACTCAGCCCCTTTATCCTCCTTCTTTTCCTCCATTCTTCCATTTTGCCATCTCTACTGGTCTTCTTTGTCTCCTCACCCCAGTAGCAGTGCATAATAATCTCTGTGGGCATGCCACCATCTTTTCTATCTCTTCACTCCTATTCCTCTCTCTATCCCACCATCCTCCTCTAGGGATTTAATCTTCCCTTCGTGGTCCTCTGGTCCTGCATTAATGCTCTCAATTAGGGCTTACAATCCATCTACACTGAGTATTGCACGGCAATCAGGCCTGTGCTGATCCTGGCAAAGTCACTCACTGTACATGACTAAAGCCAGATGGCCAGTAGCCAACGAATGCTCACCCAATGCCACCACCATCGGGGAAGAGGGGGCAGAGATGAGAAACAGACGAAAAGGACACACAGGGAGGGTAAGGCAGGACCTGCCCTTTATCCCCTCAATACGCCTGATCACATGGCCACAGCATGTTGGAAAACAAACAGTAGTAACCTTGAAAGCCCTCATGTCAAGTCCCAGCTCCCCTTTTTCTCTTCTTCACAGTTGTCCTACACAATCACATATTCTTCCCTCCACCTCTCTCTATTTTCCCTCTCCAGTTGTTACCCCTTTTTTTCTCCCCCCTCTGTTTGTACTAACATTGGTTCCTCCTCATCTATTACCCCTGAACAAATCCCTTTCCCCTTATTCACCTCAATACACGACAATCCTCCAAAGACTCTCTTCACCCCACCGTGCCTGAATCACACCAGTTTATGCACGCGCCCCTGACATGCACTAACGACAATGCAATATATTAGCTAAAAATGACAGGCTGACGCTGAGGACAAACACAGATCTCAGTGTGTGAGAGCATGTGTGTGTGTGTGTGTGTCAAATCAGCCAATGCTTTTGGAGGAGTTGGGCTCTACTGTGGTCAGGAACCACAGCTGTACTTTATCCAGAGCTTCAGGGACTATGTCTTTAATTTAGTAGCTGTGGTTGGACAAAGTGTAACCTGATAAAACTATTTTAAATGATAGGGTAGCCATCTGGTTGGCTGGTTTCACTCCACTCTACTCAGCGTGGGTCAAGGCGACTGATTGGTACTGATAGAGCTGGTAGGTTGGAGGATTGGCTGAATTGGTAGAAGGTTGAACACACGTTAAAAAAACACACACGGAAAGAGACATGATATTACTGACTTTGAGATGGTAGCCACTAAATCTGAGTATTTTGATTTTTCCATCCATCTCTGTCACTCATGCATATGTAAACCCAGAGCATCACACTTCATAAAAAATATCGTACTTGTCAGGGTTGTAGACGTTGAGCTCCTCCAGGAACAGGCTATCATTGAGGAAGCCTTTGTTCATTTTGGCCAAGAACTTCAGGATGATGCCTTTTTCGGATCCCAGAAAGACCACTGTGTGGTTCTTGTGGGGACCGGCCTCGTTGTCCACTGCAATTCGTGTAAAACGATACCTTTGAGATGAGAAAATATCCAAAAATAATAAAACTTGTCAATCAGTCAGCAAGAGGAGAAGTTTACAAGAGCAACATATGGAAACAAAGAACTCCTGCAGAACTTTATAATATTTACAAAGAATAAAAATCAACATGTGTGTGCCAACACCATTTATATTAACAGTCTGAGGAGTTCATGGACCTGCAGTGGTGATATCAGTTTCATTAAAATGATGAAGTGATGAATGAAAATCAGTGAGATTCCCTTTGTGTAAAACCAAATAGTTCCATCCATCCATCCATCCATTTTCATCCACTTATCTGTTACCGGGTCGCGGGGGCAGCAGTCTCAACAACCGCCACCTAAATCACACTGCACCACACAAGACCCTTGTCAACCTTCCTGCAGGTGGTGAGCCCACAGGAAGGCACCAACCTCCCTAACCAGGCTTCGATCTTGCCCAGGAGGTGAACCCTGGGGTTGCACACCAATGACAGAGACATTGCCTCTGGGCCAAAGCACCACAACTAAATAGTTACTTGAATGAATTATATTTCTGTTCTACAGAAAAGACAGTTTGACTCAGCAGCAAGTGGAGGAGATTGATAAGTGGAGTAGTCCTTAAATATCCATCCATCCATCCATTTTCATCCGCTTATCCGTTACCGGGTCGCGGAGGCAGCACTCTCCACCCAAATCACATTGCACCGTACCAACCCCCCCTAAACCTTCCTGCGGGTGGTGAGTCCACTGGTCCTTAAATGTGTACATTTAAATTTTAAATGGCTGGGACTGCAAATTTGAAGTCAAATTACTCCAAGGGGCAGATTGGTTTAAATTACACACATTATACAACATAAGGACTTTTTATTTGGAATACCCCAAGCAGGCCTTCTATTGTTTATTCATAGTAACCTTACTATAACAAATGTTCTATTTCATTACAATTAGGAACGGCCCCTCCATTGAGACACTGCATTAAAACACTCTATGTAAGAAAAATACAACAGACACATTTTACTCTTGTGTGTGACGCAGCAAATATGAGACTACATTAGATCAAGTGATAATGTTACGCTGAATATAAAAAAGAATCACTTCCAGCCCATCCTCTCATTGTGTCTTTGCTGTTTGGTACAGTAGTCTGGATAGTGTTCTGGCACAGTTCTTACACTACGGATGCCATTTCTGATGCAACCTATTCTGGAGCTTGGGGACTAAGTGGTATCAACCCTCACTTTAAAACAAAGATATTGTATGTTTTAACTTCAGGTGAGATGCCTGGCATGGTCAGAACAGCTGCATACAGGGCGATATGTCAGTCTACTGCTGACAGACTGACTGACTCAAATATCAAAGGAATTGTATGGTAGACAGAATGTAGACTTATGGATATTGTCATAGACAAATTTTATGATACAGAGTAGACCATCAAGATGCACAGTAATGACTAAAATCCACCAAGTAAATGATGTGAGTATACAAGTATATAGTTATACCTTAATCACCCTATATTCAAGAATGTTGATTGTGATTAATCCACAACTACTCTGTGATTAATCAAATTAACCCTTTTAATCACTCATCGGCCCTTTTTATTATTATTTAAAAATCAATGTAGAGTGATTACTTCAAATATTAGAATTCAAATACCATCACACCTGCTCCATAAAAAAGTACAACCTTGTTACTGCAATGACTAATTTTGTTTGAAAAGTGCTATTCAAATGTTACGTTAGAAACAATTTCCATTTGCTTCCCCATTGGGTAGACAAACAAAAGGTTTGATTCTCCTAAAGGATCTGTTTTCTTTTTTAGATATCCCTCTAATATTTTTGTCTAATCAGTCTCTGAGATCTGATAAGTTTGTACTTCACATGTGTTGTGTCATTGGGATGTGATCATTGAATGATTCGAATGATTCGGTAAGACCTTCACTGTCTTCCCTCTTCAGTTCAAGTGTAGGGGAGTTCTCTTGACATTCTTCCTTTAAAATGTGGGAAAATAAAAGCTACTTCAAATTCAAATAAAATGACCTTCTTGGATGTGGGTCCCCATTGGACTGTGAAGAGAATTTAATAATATTTCAAGTGTTGTTTTCCAGTTGACTTCAGCTCAGGCGTAGCTTTTTGCATCCAAACTCAGAAGATTTACTTCCACACGTTTACACATTGTTTTTGTTGCTTACATAATGCTCCTTATGTGGCGCTTTGGCCCAGAAGCAATGTCTCTGTCATTGGTGTGGAACCCCAGAGTTCACCTCCTGGGCAAGATCGAATCCCAGTTAGGGCGGTTGGTACTTTCCAGTGGACTCACCACCCGCAGGAAGGTTTAGGGGGTGTAGGTACGGTGCAATGTGATTTGGGTGACGGTTGTGGAGACTGCTGCCCCGTGACCCGGTAACGGATAAGCGGATGAAAATGGATGGACGGATGGACATAATGCTTCTTAACAACAGCCTGTGATGCTCAAGCCTAGCTGTGCCAACTGCGGTGTCATTTAAAAACAAATATAATAGGTTTAATAATAGGTAGGATTATATAAAGGCAGAAGTACTGCAATATTGATTACATTAATGAAGAGAGAGAGAGTTGTGGAGATAATCTTGATAAAAGATTATGCACGTTCACAATAAGCCTGTAGAGTATGTAGGTCAAACCTACAAGCAGAGTAATATGATGCAAATAATTTAAAGGCCATTCTATGTTTATTTATACATTTTTAAAGAACTGTTTACCCACTGGAGCTTGAAAACAATAATGGGCATCTCAGTGAAAACTGCTTCTTATTTCAAAAGTATTTTTGTTTTTTTTTTATTTTTATTTATAACTTTTCAATATATAGAAACGGTAGGAAACACACACAGATAAAACAAAATCAAAACAAAGAATTACAATGAACAAGTCTATATGAGCAAAACTGCTCATTACAATTAATATACATCATAGGTATATGAAATAATAAAACAAAAAAAGAAAGAGAGAAAAAGAAAGATCCTGCTCAAAAATAACACGTAGTTTATTATACAAACTGTACCAGTCAGCTATAAATCAAGCATTTTAAAGTTACATTGGCAGAAAGTGAGAGATTACTTTTATGTTATTCTTGATAGATATAGTAAGAAAGGTTGCCACATCTTATTGAAAGTTGCAGAGGTAAGAGAAACACTCGAATCCTTTCTATATGTAGTAGACTGGTGACCTCAGAGAGCCAGGCCTTAAAAGAGGGCATCACATCACTTTTCCACAGAGATAAGATGTTCCTTTTTCCAATTATCAGACCATATTGTATAGTTTTACGGATGCATGTTGGGGAGCAACCCAAGATTGCAGTGCGTGGGTCTGGAGGAATATTGCATTTATATACCTCAGAGAAGCATTTAAAATATCAGACAAAAACTGGTTTATCGTGGGACAATGCCTGTCAGGTCTGTCTGCTTCCTGTTCCTGCTGTCTGCTGTGTGGGGTAATCTGTTTTTACGGACGAAATCTTTGACTTGTAGGTAACGAGAGTGAGTTCTTGGCAGTGAAATTTTCAGTTCAAAATTCAGTTGAGTGAAAGTAGCCAAAGTCTTATTGAGATATAGGTCCCTAATGGTAATGATACCCCTAAGCAAAAATGTGTTGTCAGACAGTGAGGGGGCAAAGTCATGGTTTCTGTGGAGTGGGGTGTAGGTGGAGATCCCAGGTAGGTTGAATGACTTCCTTACTTGATACCAGATTTTCAAAGAATTTGCAATTATGAAATTGTTCTTGGCAATGGATTTTAGAGGCTTTGGTGAAGAGAAGGGCAGGTAAGGAACTAACAAGAAGACTTTGTTCAATAACAAGCCATGATGGGGTGGAATCAGCTATTTTTATCTAGTTGTGTATTTTGCCAGTACATTAAGGCTCTGCAGTTTGCAGCCCAGTAGAAGTGACAGAAGTTTGGTATGCTGAGGCCGCTGGCAGATTTGGGTTTGTTGAGATGTTTTTGAGAAATACGTTGCACACCAAGGCAAACAGGTCCTAGGCGACGGATCAGACAAATAGCGGTTCAAACCCCCCCATTGATGAAGAAAACAAATAAATCAAAGAGGTTCATGTCGCCCAGATTGACGTCACCGGGGCCCCACCCTGGAGCCAGGCCCGGGGTTGGGGCAGGCGAGCACCTGGTGGCCAGGTCCTTGCTCACGGGACCTGGCCGGGCTAAGCCCGAACAAGCGATGTGAGTCCGCTTTCCAGTGGGCCCACCACCCGCAGGAAGGCCCACAAGGGGCCGGTACCTTGTGATTTGGGTGACGGTTGTGGGCGGAGACCCCGACGGCCCAATCCCTGGACAACCACTCTGGCTATGGGGACATGGAATGTCACCTCGCTGGGGGGAAAAGAGCCTGAGCT